TTCTTCAATCCAGTCTATGGTGGGCTGTGCTGGTAAGCCTGAGCGAGGAGGGTAATTCATGGGTGTAACACTTTATAGTATGCTGCCATATAAGTAACATGTGCAATAACACTTTACAGGAGGGAAAAAAGAGGTAATAATAGAACATACCTTATAGGACTGTGGGGAGATTTATATCAGTTGTTGCATATAAAAGTTTATTTAGCACCAAACCAACTCCTAAGATCCTTTTCAGAGAGAGTAGAACTGCCTCAAAGGGTTTCCAAGGCTATAATCTTCTTTGTTTAATAGTCTAAAGTGATTTGCTTTTTTAAAAAATTTATTAAAGAGAGATGTAATTATGCTTTGAAAAGCTCTTGGTGCCATTCTTCAATAATAAAAGAGAAAAAGAAACTATGTTGTTGTGTATACTTCTGGTACCAGATTGCTCAGCGCTATGTCAGGACACAGTCCCAGATGGTTCAAATAAGGAGACCTTTGAGAGGGCCTCTTACAGAGGGGCTGAGGGGATCCACCAGGGACATGGAGGCACCTAGAGGCTAGCAACAGTGGAGATCCATTACCACCCTTGCTTGGGCCTGAAGAAGCAAGAAGAGGAAATGTGTTACTGGAATATATATATTTCATATATATGAAAACCATATATATTTGGTTTTCATCACAAATCTATTTTTTTTCCACAGGGCCTAAGAGTCCATCTTTTAAAAAAACTTTAAATCATTTTATTGGGGGCTCGTACAACTCTTATCACAATCCATCCATCGTGTCAAGCACATTTATACGTTTGTTGCCATCATCATTCTCAAAATATTTTCTTTCTACTTGATCCCTTGGTATCAGCTTCTCGTTTTCCTCCTTCCTCCCTCCATCAACCCTTGATAATTTATATATTTTTTCATGCCTTACACTGTTCGATGTCTCCCTCTAAGAAGTAGTCTTATTGACATACAAATCCCATACAACTCAGTGGTAAAAATGCATCCAAAAGAGCTGTATACAGCCATTACCACAGTCAATTTAAAAGTACAATTTCTTCGTTCTTGTACTCATTTTTCCTCCAACCGCACCTGCCACAACCCTAAGAAACCAGTAATCCACTGCACCACCAAGAGTGCCTCCTCCCCCTATGGGGTCACTGACCTTGATGACGCTTGTTTTGATTTCAGTTGTCCTCTTAATGCCCCACAGTATAGTATAAACGTACCTTTTCTATGCCCTTGCTGGGGTGGTGGGAAACCCACGTGACTC